ATCGTCTGATACACTGATGAGAGGAATGAGCTATCTTTTTATACCCACTCCTGTGGTTACAAAATATATTGACGACTGAATTTAGCATTGCAATAAGCAAATCAGCACTTTGAAAACAAAAGTTGAATAATTTAAAACCACAAAATGGACTTTTACTTCTTTTTAACCTTATCAGATTGTAGGGTCTTCCTAGTTGTGAAGGAGGTCATAAAGACCCGAGCCTTCTCAGTTTTCTCCGTCCAGCCTGATCACACCTGCGGGAGGCACCGGCGACTGCTCCAGCCTCCACAGCGGTGCTGGGAGCAGGATATCTCTCCAGTGGCCTCAGGGCGAGGCTGCCAGAAGGAAAGTTACTACGGTGCCTAGCCCTGGACACGTGGGGGAAGGTCAAGGGGCTTCCTGGAGGTGAACACAAAGCAGAACTCCCAAATTCCTCCTTCCTAGATACCAATTCTATTTTCTGAGTGATTTTATAGAAACACACTCTTCAAGAATTCTTTTATTGCTTAAAATCATATTCTTCCTGAAGAAATCTGAAATGTCAATTGGAGGTATCATTGAATAGCTCTCTATAAACTAACAGACAAAAATCAAATTCCTAAAGTATTCCAAGTTAATCCTAACTCTCCATCCTTAACCCTTAACACTTCCCAACTCAGAACTCTATATCAGGGAAGAAAACATGAGAAAATTTAAAAGAATTCGTAACCGTTTAAATCAATGATAAAGTAACAAAGTAAACCCTTCCTACTTAGAAGTCTTTTTCTAAAAAAAATGATGTATTTGTGGAATTTCTAAGTTTACAGGTGGCATGTATTAATGAACTATTTGTTACTAGTGTGTAAAGAAGCATGAGCACATGCATGAGGTATGCTGACTGACATGCCGCGGCGGCCTTCCGGGTGGCAACTGCAGAAGATGTCACCGCATCTACTCACCATGAAACAGGCTCTCTCACACTCTGGAAATGAAGCTGCTTTTATGTTTTTAAAGAACTATAACTGAGACTGTACCAATTTATCTTGTTTTTGACTTAGATGGAATTTAAAAATCTTAAGAATTATAATTGTTCAACCTATCAGTTATGTCAGCTGGGAGTCATTATTTAGGGAACATACTGGAATTATGCTGCTGAGTTTTCCCAACTAAATATCTCCTGAGCCACAGATGCAGAAACACCTTACAGGGGAGGCACCTTTCCTCCCACTAACCCTTAAGAAACACGGCACAGAAAGCTGCTATTCCACCCTATTAGTTTGAGCAGAAAAAGAAACCACCACCTCAGGGATAAATGGTAAACTGTGCTGAACTGTACAATTAGCTGTGACGGTTTGCTCTAAAGCAGCAATGCCCTATTCGTTTGTCACCCTCCACATGTGGCTTTCGATCACTTGAAAAGTGCCCAGTTCAAGATGAGACGTGTTGTAACAGTAAATTGCACATTGGCTTCAAAGACCTAGTTTGCAGAAAAGAATGTAAATGTCTCACCAATAACCTTTTATATTGATAATAGAAAATAATGATATTTGGAGATAGAAGGTTATTTTTCCTGTTTTTAATGTAGTTATTAGAAAACGTCAAATGACATATGTAGCTCAGATTAAATTTCCATTGGACAGTGCTGCCTAAACGTTATTCTTTTAAAATAAATAAATGGTCAACCTATTTTAATTATTTATTTGGCTTTAATTATTTATATGCCTTTCTGTAATAAAAGCAGAATAAAGGATCTCTATTGGCAGAGGGAGGTGGGTAGTGGGAGGCAATGGAATGCAATTATTTCTATACCTGATTGTTTAAACTTTGAACAGGTGTAGGGAGGAAAAAAGTTGTTGAATCAAATGTAAACATAAACCAGTTCTGGGAGGTGATCTATGACATGGGCACTACCAAAGCAAAGCGATGGCCCCCTGAAGCATTCTGGAATATTCCAATGTAAGCAACCTGTGCCACAAAGCCATGGTCTACCTGGCACAACATGGAAGAGGTTCACCTGAAGTTTCAGTGGTTAAATTTTCTCCAGTTTGCTGCCAGAAAGGATTACAATGAAGGAGCCATTATTAACTATTCAAGGGCTCTTTGACAGTCATGCCTGCAAATGTAGAAATGTAGCACTTTCAGTATTTTACCTCATAACTACACAACTGCTCCAGAGAGCATAACCCTTGAAAATGGCAAAGTGACCTAAATTACTGATTATTTTAAAAATTCATATTAACAACCCAAGTTTTAAATTCACAATGGAATTCTAAACAGGTGACAAATTCTAAATTGACACTATTATGTGCTTATAATAAAAGGACATAAAACACAATTATTGGAAATTGATGAGTCTTCCATGTCATGAAGTCAACACAAATAAGAGTGTATTCTTTAAAACACCAACACACACATAAACACTTCCTGAGTCAAACTCATGTCATAAAATACAAGCTTTCCTAAGCTATAATGAAGAAAAGACATCATCAATTCAGGTTATCAGTGCTACTACAGGAAAGTGAACTGTTGATTCAGAAAGATTCTCTGTCTTATGTTACTAACTTCCTTCAGGCTTTTGTAGAATATTAGGAAAGGCAACTGCAGTATATGTGCATTTAAATTACAGAAATTCAACAATAGGCACCTGGCAGCAAGAGAGAGCTATTTTTTAAAACCACAAAACAGAAACCACAACATTCCACTCAATGAAATTTTGCCCCAAAGTAAGAAGGGAGAGACCTGTCCTTTTAAAATTGGTTTCAGATCCCAAGTCTTTCATGGTGGGTCTCACAGGTGATTAAAGGCATTGTAAAGAATCATTTTGTCTGTACCCAATCTTTACTTATTTGTTGACTTTAGAATGTAAATCCCCAGCAAGAGGGCTTGATTGTGTCTGATGGCACAATGCATTTCATTAAGTCATAATGTCAATTATAATCATTCCTGGCACTTCCTGTCTCTATCCTTCTGTCCATGATTATACTTGTGCTTTAGAAAGATTGTTTGACTGCCGTGTCACAAACACACAGACCGAGCAAGAAAGCAGGAAAAACAGTTACTTGTTGACCTGAATTACTAAAATAATGGAAAAGGATAAAAGTGAATAAAAGTTTCCTAAAAAAGATGTCTGTATAGCTGCTTCATAGAGAGTGTTTCAGTTCTTAACAGGAGTCCACAAATTATATAGTATTAGTATTTTTCAAAATGAGTAGGTACATTCATATTCTCTTTCCAATGTATATATTTTGTTGAATAAGATAAGCTTAAAGTGACCTTTATACTTTCTCTCTTCTTCAGCAGTTTCACGTTGGTTACAGAGTTTGTGATCTGAACAGTTTTAATGCATTTAAATATTAAACATTTGCTCCAGAAACTGCTGGGCTCTAGAGATTCAGAAATAATGATACCCATCTCGCCTTACCTCTCACTTAATTCCAAATGTGATAGAGACTTCTAAAATTGGTGTACGGTACATAAGACATAAAGGAGCAAATGTAGATAACACCACTGGAAATGGTAGCCAAATTAAGCTCACAATTTTCCATTATATGTACAGGATATTGTTTGAAGTTCAGGTCATTTCCTAATTTTGACTCAAAAGTAACAAGTTTCTGAAATTCTTTCAAACTGCACAATTGTCAGAATCATCCTATAAGAAGAACGTGATTTCATTTTATCCAGCAAGTGATAAACATGACATCACTATATTTTAAAACCCTGCAAAACAAACAGTGTTGTATGGTTCTTTTTCTTTTTCTTTTTTCCCCAGTAGCAAACTAACAATCTGGCATATTCTAATAAACTGCTGTTAAGTCTAGGAATATTCTGGTCCAAATTTTCCTTATTCCCATTAATACTGGTTTGCTAGTAGATTTCTTTAGCTTTAGAATTTTAATTAGAAGACAGTTACTACTTTGCATGATGAAATTGTAATTGCTGTTTGGGTGCAATCTAACCAATATAAGTATCAGTGTGTGGGTACATCCAAAACAAACAAACAATGTCTAGCAAAAGAGAATAACAAATGCATGCTCTACTGACCTAGGTTATCTAATAAGGTTTGCCTAACTTTTGAGAGTTTCTTCCTTTTTATTTTGTAGAGGCTGGACAGCAAATGATATTAGAAATATCAATGCATTTTAAAGGTACATCATGGTATGTAAATGATAACAAATGAATGTTCTTCAATAAACACTAATGATGGTCAGAAATCTACGCCAGCCTTGGGCCTCCTGTTTGTTCCATGTGTGCTCCTGGTGATCCCTTCACACTTCTGAGTCTGTTTTACTCACTTGTAAAATGAGAATTATGAAACCTCACTTGAGAGACATGTCAATTTTTTGGATGGTCCCCAAATCTAGGTGAGATAAATGATAAACAAGAAAATAAGCAAAAGGTCTCATGTGTACATTCTATTACTGTTCATTGTCATTCTGCCATAATGTGGTCCTCTGGTTCAATAGTACCACATATGGTTTAAGTAAAATTATAATGTGACAAAAGCCTTTTGATATTTCAGATAAACTCTCTTGGCTCAGTTTCAAGGTAGATCTGTCTTAAAAGGATTACCATGATATAAACAAGGAATCACCAAGCTTTTTCTGTAATGAGTCACATATAAACATTTTAGGCTTTACAGGCCACCTATGATCTGTGTTACACAGTCTCCATTTTTTAACCCTTTAAAATGTAAAACCACTCTTATCTCTAAGGCCACACAAAAAGAAGCCCGGCCCCTGACCAAAGACTGAGTGTCCTTGCTGTTAAGTGCCTAGGCTCAGTCCTACATTCCACGTGTCCTCAATTTTTTTACACTTTTTTTGCTCTTCATTATTTGTTTGCCAAAATCAAATAAAATGTTCTTTTCTAGAGCTATAGGAGTTCCCACTGCTGCAGCCTCAGAGTTGGTTCTCAAAAGCTGTTTCACACAAGCAAACTTCTTGGCAGAAAACCCTTCCTAAGTCACTATGCTTTGCACCAACTTCCTGGGCAGACACAGAAAAGGTTTCATGGCCTCTTACCTTGCTGGAGGAACATCAATGTTGGAAGAAACAACTTTTCGCTTTTGCTCAAGGAGACAGATGGAGCGGGTGTTTTCTTTGTCATGGTCAAGGGCCCGGTTTGCAGTTTTGGTGTCTGCTGTTTTTATGTCTTCCTCCACAGCCAAGGGGAACAAGGGCTGATGAGACATTTTTTTACTTGAGTCTCGTTTTAGGTCCTCTGGTTGAAACGTGAAGGACATGTCCCGCTTGATGCTCCCTACCTGTGAAATGAACACAAAAATTCTCACTGGCACCTATGTCGGCTCTGCACGACAGCGTGCAGGTGGCTGTGAGGGGAGACCGCAGTCACAACCCTCCATGCTCATCTTGAAGACTGTACAGTTTAAATGGGAAAAATGTAACAGAAATAAAATGCCTGAACTACAACACAATACACAATTAATGTATGTTTTGTCATATGCAAACAAGAAGCATCAAAACATGAGAGAAGCCTTTCAGGCACACACAAACTTCAAAGGCTTGAAAGCATAAGACTTCTAAAGAAAAATCTAAAAATTTAAAACATCATTGTTTTCTACAACTGAGAAAACTCAATTAAGTCAATAAATTCTTAAATACTTCATGCTGATTATGTTTCATAGAAGACAGCTATAAATAAAAAACCAAGCCTTATCTTTGACTGTGAATACTGATCTTAACCATACTCTTTCATTCATGAAGAATTGGTTTTTATCCTTTACCTGCAATAGGTAATATCTTAATGAAATCCCTCTATTAGTATGATGATAAAGAAGATATTAACTTTTCTTAACTGTTGACTAACTGCAATGATGCTTAAGGTTTAAAACAAATATGTGAGTAAAATGGAATCTCAGGGAATTGAATCCAGTTATTTCAGAATCTGGGAAGACTGAAAAAGAAGACTGATATTATATTAAAGAAAGATTTTTGTAAGGCGATGAGCATTGTAAATGAGGCTTGGCATGAACGTGATCAAGTCTTAAGTGTACAAAGAAGAGCCAAACTATCTAATAACCTGAATCCTCACTCACCAGTGGTTTCAAAATGCCTACAAGACATGTCACCAGTCCCCAGAGCAGTCCATTGCCTTGTGGACTTGGTTTCTGGAGTCATAAAACTTTGCCCACCCACTTAAATAAAAGACATGCTTCTTCATTTTTTTTAATTTTAGGAGGAGAAAAAGCACAAAGAATGTGACCATATAGATTTAGAATTTTAAAAGCTAAAGCCACAGACATAATGAATTTTTTCAGAATAAAATGAGAATATGATGTGTGTTCAAGGATAGCAGAGACTAGCAAAGTATGGTATTGATGGCTAGAAATTCTCAGACTAAAGGAAAACTCTGAGGTATGTGTAGGTGGGAGTCACAAGGCCTGCTCATGGATGAGCACTGCCAGAGCCCAGGGATGACCTGTGCCTTGGACACCACTTGTCTCTTTGATATGAACAAGCTCCCTGTCTTATTGGTTTGCACTTTTCAGGAAGGACAGACCTTCCATGTGCTCGGGGCAGACTGAGACTTAGCTCCACAGCAGAATGGTCAGACACTTTGTGTCTAATTGTAACCCACTCAAAACTTACCACATTTCTTAGAATGCCTTAATGAGTCCAAGAAAAATGAGAGCTAACTTTTAATGACATTCGCACAAAATAGGAATAAGAAAATATTTCAAACTTCCAAAAATGCAATGAATGTTCAGTAACAATGTAGTTTGGAAAATTGACAAATGTAATTGCAAATATTTTAAATATTCATCTCCAATCACTTTCTGTGCAACTTTTTCTGCTTGAAGGGGGTGTAAGAGTGGGTGCTTCTTCAACTCCACAGCAGCTTGTTCTGCATCTATGTTACAGCAGCGGTACACTGACCATCAGGCATGAAAGATGAAAACAAAGGCCTAATCCTGATGATTACAAATAGTTTCTCCCGAAGGGTCAAGTATTACATTAATTAAATATTTAAGAAATCATTAATACTAATTTGTAGCAATAATTGATGTCCATACCTCTCTTGGGATCAACTACACTGGTTAAATGAATTCAGTCTAAAGACATGTGGGGTTGAGGGAGAATACTGCAGGAACCTCGGCTTTTAGCCTCAGAAATGTAGGAAAAAAACAAAGCATCTAAAGTAAATACAAAGTAGAATAAATTTCTTATAAAGATGATGCTATAATTGTATGTCATGCTCTTAGCCAAGACTTCATAATAAATTAAATTACAGTAATATTCAACAATGTAAGCTATTAATCTTCTATAATACATTCTAAACAAAAAATTCATCTCTTTGTAGTAATCAGGGAATTTGAGTAATGTATTGGGTTTCAAAGACTATTTAGCCCCGACTCTTTATTTAAAAGTGGAATTAAAATGAGTTAGAAATGACTAAGAGGACAAAAAGTGTAGAATGAAGAAGAGATTTTAGGAACTTTAAGGCTCCACAGTTTATAAGGTGTGGTGACATGTGTGGACGGTCATTATATCACCATTAAAGTTGACAAAGATATTGATGCTCTCTTTAGTGTTCTTTTAGTCATGTCAGGTATCATATTTTAAAGCTTCTTTAAGAGGGGAGTTCATGGGAAAGGAGAGAGTATAGAGAGGACGCGGAGTCAGACCTTGAGAAGCTGGACTCAGAAATGCCTGCGAAACTGAGAGGCGGGGCCAGGGGGTGGCGGGAGAGGGCAATCAACGAAGCACCTTATAAGTTCTCCAGCAATGAGACGGAGTCACCACATGACCCAGCAGTTCCATTTCTGGTATATGCCCAAGACAGCTGAAAACATGTGCCCACGTGGAAATTTGTGCAGGACTGTTCATAGCAGCATTATTCATAACAGCCAAAAGTGGACACCACCCAAATGTTTATCAACTGAAAAATGGACAAACTCTGCTGCATCTATACAATGGAATAGTATTCAGGATGAAATACTGACCCATGCTACAAGACGGAAGGACCTTGAAAACATAATGCTAAGTGAAAGAACACAGGCACTAAAAATACTGTATTGCATTATTTAATTTATACAAAATGGTCAAAATAGGCCAATCCATAGAAATAGAGAGTAAATTTGTATTTACCTAGGCGTTAGTATTTATAGGAAATGTGACTGTCTCCTAATGAGTAAGGTATTTTCAGGGGGGTAATGTAAGGCTGCTGAGATGGATTGTGGTGATGTTGCACAGTTTGGTGAGAACACTAAAAAACATTGAATTTCACACCTTAAAGTGTGACTTGTAATACATGTTAATTATGTCTCAATAAAGCTGTTACGATAAAAAAAAAAGATGCAGGGAACAGAGCATGAATACTGAGGAGGATGAGAAAAAAATGCATGGATTGGGTTTTGAAGTGCTATTCGTGTAGCAAAGAAAGCGGCTCAAGAAAAGCAGGATCCCATTTATGTGAGATTTCCAGTAAAGGCAAATTTATAAAAACAGAAAGCAGATCAGAGATTGCCTGGTGCGGGGTTCAGAGCTGTGAATGCAATAGACTACAGTGACATTTGTACAGTGCTGTAAATTTATTACAAGCCATTGAATTCTATTCTTACAATGGGATGAGTGTTACGGTATAAAAATTATACCTCAATAGTACCACTAATTAAAAAGAAAATAAAGGACTTCCGCCAAGATGGAGGCATAGGTGGATGTGCTGTGCCTTCTCACACAACCAAGTTTAGAGACAACTAAATATTAGCAACAGAAAACACAGCCAGAACACGGAAAATTGAACTTTTCGGAAGTCCATTAACAACAAATTCTTCAGCCTGACCGGTAAGGGGCGAAACCAGCGGCTGGTGAAGCGGGATTGCACAGAAGGTCTCGGTCAGCCGGACTCAGGCGCGGAATCCAGACGCGCGGAATCCAGGCGCAGGGTTGGACCTACTGAGCAACCGAGCGAGCCACCAGGCAAGCGACCATGGGGGAGACAGCGGGGGAGCGGTGCTGCGTGTTGACTGTGGTCGCGCATTTGTGCGCGGGCGGACAGGCGAGGGAGTGGGCGGTTGGACCGGGCCCAGCGGGTCCCTGTGGCAAGCGGCAGTGGAGGGCACCGCCATTTCCCCGCTCTGACCCCACCTCCACATACAGCGTCATAACCCAGCGACTCTGAGTGGCCTGGCCCAGGTGAACCACCTAAGACGCTAATCTTCACCCAGCTGTGAGAAACAGCAGAGGGGGTCACCAATTTCCCGCTCTGACCACGCCCCCACATACAGCGTCACAACCCAGCGACCTGGGAGTCCAAGGCACCGCTTCTCACACTTAAAGGGCCAGAACAGACCAAAAATGTCACAAGATCTCAAAGCTCCAGAGCCCATAGATCTAAGCGATGAAGAAATAGCAAAACTCTCAGATGCACAGTTTAAAACACTGGTCATCAGGATCCTCACAGAACTGGTTGATTATACCGACAAATTAGACAAATATATGAAGGCGAAACTAATTGAAATGAATGGAATTGCACAGGACACCAATAGCAATGAAAAGGAAACTGGGACTCAAATCAATGGAGTGGACCAGAAGAAAGCAAATAATGGCCAAACAGAAAAGAGTCAAGAAGCAAGAATTCAAAGAAATGAGGAGAGTCTTAGGAACCTCCAGGACATCTTTAAACGCTCCAACATCTGAATTATAGGGGTACCAGAAGGGGGAAAGGCACAGCCACCAGTGGAAAACTTATTTCAACAAATAATAAAGGAGAATTTCCCCAAGCTGGCAAAGGAAGTAGACTTCCAGGAAATCCAGGAAGCTCAAGAGAGTCACAAAGAAGTTGGACCCAAGAAGGAACACACCAAGGCACATCATCATTACATTAGCCAAAATGAAAATGAAGGAGAGAATCCTAGAAGCAGCAAGAGCTAAGGGGACAGTCACCTACAAAGGACTTCCCATCAGACTGTCAGCGGATTTCTCAAAAGAGACCTTACAGGCAACAAGGGGCTGGACAGAGGTATTCCAAGTCATGAAATCCAAAGACCTACAACCAAGATAGCTCTATCCAGCAAAACTTTCATTTAGAATGGAAGGACAGATAAGGTGCTTCTCAGATAAGATCAAATTCAAGGAGTTCATCATCACCAAGCCCTTATTATATGAAATGTTAAAGGGACTTACCTAAGAAAAAGAAGTTAAAGAAACATGAACATTGAAAGGACAACAAACTCACAGTTATTAACAACCACACCTAAAACAAAAGCAAACTAAAAGGACAGCTAGATCAGGAGTGGAAACA